CTCCAAACACTTTTTCTTTCTAAATTCTAACTTTGGTATCGGATGTTCTTCGGCCAAAGTCCCCCCCCCCCATTCATCGTGGGTGCGTGAAGCTCTTGGCCTTGACCTAATGTGTCCCCCCATTCATCATGGGTGCGTGAAACTCTTGGCCTTGACTTAATGTGTTATTTGTTTCTAGGTGCAATTTTGTCCAAGAACAAGGAGGAAAAAATTTGCATCCACGGTCAACATCTTATATTAGTCTTTTATAGAAAGAGAAAGAAAAAATAGAGAATGTGAGAAAAGGAGATGGAAAGAGGAGGAGAGATAATCCTAGTCCGTCCAAGACAAGGTTCAACAAACCCATTTAATTCGTCTCTAGTTTTTAAAACTTTATTACAAGTTCTATGGCATCTTTAAATTCCTCTTTTATTTCATAAACTTGGACATTGATACACCAGGGCAAGGTTAAAATCTCATGATCAAGCCCGATAATTTGAACAATTGACACAAAAAACAATGGAATGGTTTGATGGGAAATACAAATATTATCTTTTCCTCTCAAATAAAATTTTAAAATTTAGACGAGGTACCCATTTTTTTGCCACAGATACCAATATAGAGGCTAAAAGATACTACGATATTAAATTCATATCCGGTCGAGATATTTATGAATTTAATCATTAAAATGCATAAGCTCAATTATATATTCAAGTTAGATCAATTCCTGAAGTTTTGGTCAACAATCAAAACTGCTTACCGATGAGTTCACCTATTAAATGCGCAAAGGCGATGTACTTTTTTACCACAATTCTATGTATTGTGAATTTTTGTCCACAACTTTTGTGGCATATAAAGGCTAAAGGATACTACGATATTAAATCATGTGGTTGAAATATTTATCAGTTTAATCATTAAAATGCATAAACCCAATTACACATCCAAGTTAGATCAATTTTCAAAGTTTTGCTCCACAATAAAAACTGCTTAGCTATGAGTTCGCCTTTAAAACGTGCAAAGGCGATATACTTTTTAGCCACAGTTCAATGTAATGTGAATTGTTGTCCGCAACTTTTGTATCTAATAAATATCCACAGTTTTGACAAAAATAAAAAAATAAATATCCACGATTAAAAATATTCATTGATCTACCAAAAGTTATCATGGATGTACCCTTTTTGTTTTAGATTGATCTATATCAATTAGGAAGAACAATAATTATGAGAATTTTAAATATGAAAAAATGATAAAAAAAAATTATATTTAAGACATAACACGTGATGAGTTTTGAATGATTTGTAATGTCATTCAACAAAATTCAATAATAAACTAAACTGTACACAAGTTTTTCCCATACAGTTCCAATGGAACCTGCAATCATTCATAAAAATTATTTTTCTTTTTTAACCACATAACATGTTGGAGCATTAAATACTTGTCTTCTGTTAATTTGTTTGACTTTGTTCTTTCTTACTTTTTCCACCGTCATCTTCCTCACCGCTCTGTTCACAACCATCAAACCCAATAACCACCATTTCTACCTTTCTTTCTCACCACCACGACGACCAATCTATTCCACCGTCACATTTGCCATCAGCACCGCACCACCAACCACCACATCCCAACTCAACAACATAATGGACGAACTCAAAAACCACCAAATCCACCATGAATTAATGACCTCAACCATCTAGGAGAAAAACCCTGTTGGAGCTGTTTTATATGGAAGACTTAATTGATTTTACAATTTAAGATCCAAATTTTTAGTTTTATTAAATCATTAATTGAAAGAGAGCATTTTTTTTTCCACGACACAAGATACTGTAAGTTTCGATGAAATCAGAGGTTGTTGAGGCCGTTTGTGGTGAAGAATCAAGATATTGAGTTCAAGAATGACAAGAAAAGAGGATGTGTCATTTGGTTTTAACCTTGGGCTTGGTGTTAGCAAAGGGTTAAAGTAGAAAATAAATGTACACCAAAATTACATTCGAATTTTGGACAATACTGGGGTACTCACTAGGGAGTACCCAATTTACTGACTTCATAATGTGGGCCAATGAGAATAGGCCACTTGTCTTATCTAAAACTGTCCCAAACATTGGTTATCTTTGTAACCAAGCATTAATCATCTCCCTCACCCTCAAGCCTTGTTTTCTCCGTGCACCCTAACAACAACCCCATCAAAAAGGATTAGAGTGGGATTGATATCGAAGAGGACTAGGTGGGACGCCATAAAAAAGACGGTTGACGTTGGACTCGTCAGTGAATAGAGGGGTTGGGGTAGTTGAGGTCGTCAGATGAGAGTGGGTGGAGTTGGGGTTGCTAGGGAAGTAAGGGATTGGGCCGAGCTCGCCGATGAAGAGAGGGTTTTGGGGTGGGCTTACTAGAGAACTAAGGGATTTAGGGTTGGTCTCGCAGGAGAAGATAGGTGTTGTTATCATCGAGGAACAGAGAGGCAAAATCGCCAGAGAAGAGAGGGGGTTGTCTGCACGGCAAGAAGGGAGGAATAAGATGGTGCTTGTTTGGTTACGAAGATAGGAAGAGTTTGGGGTGAAATTCATTTGACATGTGTTAAATCTGTGATGGGCCATGTAGGGTAGTCAGTAAGCTGAGTACTCTTTAATGAGTACCCAATTATTGTCCTCGGATTTTTAAGTTATATTTTAAAGATAGGAGCCACGTGTTAGGTGAGTTTGTGAGGACTCACTTTTGATGTGAGTTCCATTAGCAAAGTCCAATAATATACGTATAAGGGAGGTGTTATCGACAAATTCATTTTTATTTCACACACTCTTCTTAATTTTTGACCGTCCGATTGAATGAATTGAAGAAGATTAATGAATAAAAATTAACAAGGTGTATGTGAGATAGAAAAAAGTGTGTAAATAAAACTATCTATGTATAAAACGTTTTCTTACTAGAATATGACCATTGACTTTGATTGTTGCACAATTTATACCTATACTAAAACCCAACACAAAATTACTGTTTATCAATAGTAGACAGACTAAAACGCCCTCACGTTAGTTTTCAGTCAATGCTTTGTGCCTTTCTGTACGGTAAATTACCGCATATGCCCTTTCTATCCACCCATTCTCCATTTGTGGTGCCTTTCTTTTAATCTATTCTTGATTTTCTCAAACCCACGTACAACATTTGTGGCATAGAAAATGATAAAATAATAATTAAAAAACTGATGACATGACAAAAAGTGTTTAAAAAATGTGAGTTGAATCAAGCCACATGGTTTGTGGCATAGAAAACAATAAAAAATTATAAAGTAATTGGATGCACTGAAAAAGTTGTAAAGTAAGTTTGTCTACTGGGATTACAAAGTTAAGGATGATATTATAAACGGGAAAAGGATCCTTATCGGATTATTTTTCTGAGGATCCTAGCGATCTTGTGATCGTGATTATTTATCGTAAATCATGTGATCAATTTTCATTAGGTACTCTTTATATTTAATTTTAAATTTTAAATTTTAAAATAATTTCTAATCATACGATATACGATTAACAATTACGATCACAGAATCTCTAAGATCTCCGGAAAATGATCCGGTGAAGATCCTTTTCCAGTTTTCCTTATAAACGCAGGAAAGATTGATTCGTCTGAGTTGATTACAATGAAAACGCTCAAGGATACAGGGGCAATAGGGAAGCAGATTGAAAATGGAGTGCGCTAGATGGGACATGGTGCTAAACAGATCCAATGGCCAATTCATCTGGAGCAGACAAGCAGGTGGAGAAAAAAAAATCAAAAGCAACAAGAAATGAACCCAAATTAGACCAATAAACACTCAAAAGTTTTACAATATTAGCTTTAATTAACCCCAAATTTGAAAACAAATTATGGAAACAACACAGGAAGCAAAACCCAATTCATCATCTCCCTACCAAAAGATGCAGAAACAGATGTACCAAGCAGCAATTTAACTAATGAAAACAAGCATATTCAATATTCACAAAATACAAACTAGAACAAACACATATCAAGCTAAAAAAACTGACTCGATCCAATTGAGTTGACCCAAGTCTCCCCAAACATACAAAAATCCAGCTCAAAGTTCAAAGCTCTGGGAAAATTTCAAAATACTCACATAAGCTAAAAGTTCAAAGCTCTATGGATTATCTTCTACCCTATATTTTTAGCACAATATTTTATAATATTGGTATAAGAATTGACGTTAAACTGTGAGGTGACAGAAGGTCCTTAAAGAGTATCATTAGCATATATCTTGTAAGAGCCTAATGAGTAATTTTTCATTGTCATCACCACTTTGACATGTGCCCTTATTGATCCACTCATCTTATAACACATCTATCTATTTGTTAGTTTATAACATTTGTCTTTTACGATACAAAATTAACGTCCTTATGATGGTGACACCCTTAATCATAAATTCTAGTAAATCACAATTGTGCTTAAATTCACTAAATATGAAAAAAATAAAAAAAAATACTCATGTAAATTTGTTTAACTCATAACTCAATAACATAACATATTGTCGAATGACAGTCACACCGAAAAATCCCTCTATACGGACCAAAGCCTTTTATAGTTTTATCATGGAAAAAAGGAAAAAAAAAACCCAATAACATAACATACTATCGAATGACAGTCATACCGAAAAATCCCTCTATACCGACCACCTCTATACGGACCAAAGCCTTTTATAGTTTTATCATGAAAAAAAAAAAAAAAAAAATGGGGTTGGACACAAAAGCACAGAAATGACCGAAGCTTTTCGTAGTGATAACTGTTTATAGACCAATAGAAACACATTTTTAACAGTAAAAATATTAAAAAAAAACTTTCCCATTTCTTGGAAAAAGAAACCACGAAAAAGCCAGTCAAGCACTCTCTCAAAGGCAAGAGTCTATTGAGCCAACGGCACTAAATTGCAGTCCCTAAGTCGTCGCTAAGTTGGACAAAAATGGCCGGCCTTCTTTATCCATCTCCATTCACACACTTTTTTACAATTTTCCCGGAAAAAATTATTGGGCAAATATTTTTATATAAATCGTAGGTGGCACTTGTTTTTTTGTTGACCGGGAAAGTCTGTCTTTGTGGAAAAAGAAGGAAGCTTTGCTGTGGATTCAAGAACCCTTCTCCGGGATCTTTGATTCATCTGTGTTTTCTGCAAGGGAATTATCTCAGGTGAGTATTTTGAAAATTTCACAGAGCTTTGAACTTTAGCTGGATTTTTGTATGTTTAAGGAGACTTGGGTCAACTCATTTGGATCAAGTCAGCTTTTTGAGCTCGATATGTGTTTGTTCTAGTTTGTATTTTGTGAATATTGAATCCGCTTGTTTTCATTAGTTAAATTGCTGCTTGGTACACCTGTTTCTGCATCTTTTGGTAGAGAGATGATGAATTGGGTTTTGCTTCCTGTGTTGTTTCCATAATTTGTTTTCAAATTTGGGGTTAATTAAAGCTAAATATATTGTAAAACTTTTGAGTGTTTATTGGTCTAATTTGGGTTCATTTCTTGTTGCTTTTGAATTTTGTTTCAGGGCTTGGTGTTTACTGATGCTGGGGTTTTGTGGAATTCAGTATTCTTGAGCTCTGGTAATAAAATATAGCGAATTTAGGCGATTTTGATGGCTTTTTCGATGTATATTTATCAGAACTAACTTTCCTTAGCTAGGGCTACGATGTAGTCATGATTATGAATGCTTAAATTGTGGTTACAAAGTCAAGGATGATGTAGATAACAGTATAGGCACTCATTGTTGTAAAGCAAGTTTGTCATTATGGTTACAAAATCAAGGATGATGTAGATAATGTTTTCTCTTTGTTCCTATTTTTTAATTACATCGTTCAGCTACATTCAAATTATAATTTAAGGTGTATATTTGTGTTGGATAAAAAATGGAGTGTGTTTTATGAATGAAATTTCTGTATAAGAATGCCCAGGTATTTACATATATATGTGTGTATGCTTAGGTAAATTGTCATTTAGGTAGCTGAGTGAAGTCCTTATGATGATTACGATTTGGGATTTATATTTAGTTATATTAAAAAAATTTATTTGGTTAAAAGAAGAGGGGAAAAATAAAGAGGAAGATAAATTATGTGCGTAGATAGAGATTTCTTAGTTTAAAGTGTGTGAGCTTTGTAAATTTTTTTTTAATCTTTCTTAGAAACAGAGCTTAAGAATAAAGAGGAAGAAAAATTACGTGCCTAGATAGTGATTTCTCAGTTATTAGTGCTTTGAATGAAAAAAAAAATATTCATTGTAATATTGGTCCTTTGTGTATCTGATTTGTAACTGTATTTTATATTGCAGATCATTGTCAGGGCAATTTATATAACTAAAGAGTGCTCTTGTTGAGATTGACAAAAAAAAAAAAAAAAAAAAAAAAAAAAGAAGGTGAGTCCGGCTACTAAGTACCGTTGAGTTTGGAATTTGCAAATCTCTATTAATCATTTTGATAAATGCTTACATATGTGTGTGTGTGTGTGTGTTGCCATTGCTTTGAATGAAAAAAAATATTGTTATAGTGTTATTGTTTTGTACATCTTATTTTTGACTACGTTTTCTATTGCAGATTAGTGCCACAACAATTTATATAAGCTACAAAGCGCCTTTACTGAAATTGGAAAGAAAAAAAAAAGGGTGAGCTGGCAAGTAATGTCATATTTAGAATTTACAAATTTTTTTAATCTCTACTAATTAATAAAACACTCATTATCAACCAAAACTCTATGAAAGTACTAGTTTAATCCTCTAATTAAAACAGAACATAAATAAGAAATATGGGGCAGAAATTTAATTTCACAAAACCAAATTTTGGTGTTTTTTTTTCAAAGCCTCACCTACATGTAATCCTAACTTCCTAATTAAAAAAAATAAATAAAAAAAAAACCCTTCCCACTCCCACATTCTCTATCATTCTCTTCCTCTCTCCTTCTATTTCAAAAACACAAATAAAAAATTTCTTACACACTTTGTGTGTGCCCATATGCTAGTTATATTGATGATTGTTTATACAATATAAATGTGTCTTGGTATTTGTCTCATTCTTTAAAAAAATTTGGTATATCAAATGTCATTCAATGTTAAATTTGTATTTCCGTTTATTTCTTTTGTAGTGTGGTTCAGTTTTTTTTTTCTTTTCTTTTATAGGGTAAAAAATCTTTGGTGGTGGTTAACGATTTTGTTACTTCACAGTTTAATAAATTTATTGTTGAATAATATTTATGTTGTTTTTTCATAGGGTTTGAGAACGTGGCATTATTTAACGTCAAGTTAGTTTTGTTTGCGTTGCAAGATTCTCTACACAAAAGGTAAGTGATTTAAAACTTCTAAAATTATTGAGTTCAAATTTATACCATCTGGTTTTTATTTTGTACAATTAGAAGAAAGTTTCATATTCTATTTAGGTTTTATTATACTCAAATTGAAATTTTAATTTTAGTAGTTTGTTTGCATATAATGTTATATGTGTTGTTTTAATATGTGTGTTGCATCTTTGTAAATTTTTTCCTTTTTCCCAATTTGTTTGCAGCTGTTTGTTTTTCAATTGGTCATAACAATTTGTTTGCAATGTCTAAAAGATCTATAAATTTAAAGCTTATGGATTATGATGTTGGATTTCAGAGTTGACCCATTCACAAAAGTTATAAAACTTGTCATTATGAGTGAATGAATATTTTTTTTTTCATTTTTGTTTCTTTTAATTAAGCATATTTAAAAGAAAATTTTTAAGCAGTAGCATTATCAAATATTTTTTGGTTGACTAATCCTTGTCTCTTCAAATTTAATTTTTGTCCTCTCTGGAGTGTTCGTAACTTTGTGCACATGCTCAGTAAGAACTGGGAAACTTCCTCGCATCAGGAGGAGGAGGAGGTGGGGTTCATTCTCTACTTTTCGTTCTTTCACTTTTCTTCTGTTTGAATGCACACAATTTCTACGCCGAATGTGCTGAGAAATTTCGTCTTTTTATTTTTTATGGTTTCTTTTTGGTCTAATCTTTTTTGATAATTTCCTCGATCGTCTATATTTTTTGTCCTCCCTGGCATTTGTAACTTAGTCCACATAATAAAGTACAATTTTTTATTTCGTTGGATCGCTTCAGGTGCAACTATTGTTCAGATTCTCTATCTTCTCTCTGTAATCAAATACTTCCTTGGATCGCTTTATTCTCTTGTCTTTCTAAGAGATAGAGAGATGGAGGTGATTGGGACTTCTTCTTCTGGTGCTGCTGGTTCTGTTACTGCTGTTGATGATGTTAATATCCCCCCTCTTCGAGAAAAGTATGATGTGTTTATTAGTTTCAGAGGTGAGGACACCCGTCTTACTTTTACCAGCCATCTTTATGATGCCTTACTTCGCAAGAAAATCGAAACCTACATGGACTACAGGCTGGAGAGAGGAGACGAAATTGGACCCGCCTTACGAGAAGCAATAGAGAAATCAAGGCTTTCGGTGATCATTTTCTCCGAAAACTATGCGTCTTCCACATGGTGCTTGAATGAACTCGTGCATATACTCGAATGCAAAAGGAAATATGGCCAGATGGTTGTATCCATTTTTTACGACACCAGTCCATCAGATGTGCGAAAACAAAAGCGGAGTTATGCAGATGCATTTGCTCAACATGAAAATCGTGAGGACACCAGGGATAAGGTGAACGTTTGGAAAGCTGCTTTGGTGGAAGCAACCGGTTTATCTGGGTTTGATTATTCAAACAAAAAATGGTAACTAACTTTGTAACTTGCATCAATTTCTACTTGTGATTATTTCTTTTCAAATTTTGATTTTTATTGTTTATAGGAAAGGATATTCATTACATAGACTTCAAATTTTTATTAGGTAAATTGAACCTTATTCATAATCAATACAAATATAACACTGAGAAACACAAATTAACCATATTTGACATAAAATTCTAAACCATGACCAATTCACCAAACTTACACAACATGAAACTTTACCCCATATCTTTCCCTCCAATACTTCACTATACTAACGTGTGTGTACCTTACCGAAAACCCCATCACAAAAACATCTTTTTTCGAAAATGAATCACCACATCACCAAGCAAACTGTTATTCAAATGAAAAAAACTACTTAATACTTAATACCATAACCATAAAACCATAAACCACACTCAATATAATCATTAGCTAAACCAACACCATATTCAACATTCATACAAATAAAAAAATTAAAAAAAAAGGGTCAAATTAAACACCTTTAAACCACAAAATCGAAAACAACAAACCATATAATTAGTGAGTGCAGACTTTCCGGCATTCGGGACACCAATTATGCCAACAGACAATGCCTTTTGGTCCTCCGCCTTCACCATTTCCTAAGTAACGTGAACGCTGATAAGTAACGTGAATGTTGATAAACATTCAGCACATAAGAATAAGAATAAGAATAAGAATAAGAATAAAGGTCATCGTTGCCTTATATACTTGTATAAACACAATACACAGCTTATCCCAGCTGAAGCAGAACTTGTAATTCATGCGAACTTTCTCGCTAAGCAAACAAATGGGTGTGCGAATTAGCTCAAATCCATGAAACTTTGAGATTGAGCAGGGTGGAGTGGTGGGTTTTACCTTGTTCGCATACAGAGGGACTAAATCTCTTTCCTTCATGAACAAATCTTGCTCTATAGTTTTGCTGCTGCTACTAAATCGGCTTCTACTCGTCCTAATTCCTTATTCTCCTAATCGCAAAGAGGAACAATGATGTCGAAGAGAGGGAGCGACACCTGAGGAAAGCAATCTCAGATGACCAACACGTGGGAAAATTTGACAACAGCTATGCCAAAGGGCATATTAGTAATTCTACTATGCAAAAATAAAAAATACAAAGGAAATGAACCAGTGCAAGGCAAAAACATCAACACACTGCGTGAACAGTGTCTTTGAACTGGGTTTACTATACATCGCTTATCATTTGTAATCCTATTTTGCAGGACGGAGGCTGATTTCATTAAGGAAGTTGTGGAAGATATTTCAACGAAATTGAAACGTGAAACCTTATGTGATTTAAAGGGCATGGTTGGAATTGAGAGCCGCATCGAGCAAGTTGAATCGTTATTAAGCACTGATGATTGGAAAGGTGTTTGCACTGTAGGCATTTGGGGTATGGGTGGTATTGGAAAGACCACCCTTGCTAAGGCTGTGTTCAACAAACTCTCTTCTAAGTTCGAAGCTTCTTGTCTTCTTAACAATGTTAGGGAGAAGGCAGAGCAAACAGACGGAGTCGTTAAATTGCAAAAAACACTTCTTAAAGAGATCTTAAAGGAAAAAAATCTCTCCATAAATATGAAGAATGTTAAAGAAAGGCTCGGCCGTACAAAGGTTCTCATTGTTTTTGATGATGTTAGTGACTGGAGGCAAATAAAAGATCTAGTTGGACACTACGAAGATGGAAGTAGAATCATCGTAACAAGTAGAGAACGGGGCGTACTCAAGAAAGCTGTTAGTGATAAAAAATATATATATGAGGTTCAGAAAATAAAAACTGATGACGCTCTTCGGCTCTTTCAATTTCATGCTTTCAAGGGTAACTCTCCCAGAGAAGATTATACAGAGTTGTCGGCAAGGGTGGTAAAATATGCTGGAGGCATTCCACTGGCTCTTGAAGTTTTGGGTTCCCTATTCTTTGAATGTGAGAGCAAAGACGAGTGGAAAGAAGCATGGAGCACACTGAGAAATTATCCCAATGAAGAAATTCAAAATACGTTGAGAGTAAGCTATAATAGATTACCAAGAAATGTGCAGGAGGTATTTCTTGATATAGCATGCTTTTATAAAGGGGATCCTATGTGAGCATGTAAAAACGATGGTAGACTTTGGCCAACGGCATGGTGGTTCATGTGCGGCAGATGGAATTAGAGTTCTCTGTGATAGGTCTCTCATATCGATTGCTTCGGAACAGGGAACCATAGATATGCATGATTTGGTACAAGAAATGGGTTGGTCAATTGTTCGCCAACAATGTATTGAAGAGCCCGGAAGACGCACTAGGTTGTTCACTGATGAGGATATCTATCATGTATTGAAAAATAACACGGTAAGAGCTGCAAGTGGATTCACAATTTTTTTAAACAATAAAGAAAAGAAATAGATCGATAAAATACTGTGTACTTGCTATGAGAAGACAGCTAGAGAAAACTCATTTACAAAAAATAAGTCATATTCCTACAGATGTAGTTTTGATTAAATTTTGTTGTGTGTTAGTGTGTTCACATTTGTACTTTGCTGTTGGTTGTCAGGGAACTGAAAACGTTCAAGCCATAATCTTTCCCCGGTGGTCAAGGATTGGAGAGCAAAACTTGGATAGTGCAGACTTCAAAAAGATGTATAATATGAGATTGCTCAAAATTGATTATGTGATGAGCAAAATATTGAACATTAAAACTCTCTTTCTTCCCAATTCTCTTCGTTATCTTGAGTGGTTGGGATATCCTTTGAAATCTTTGCCCCCAGAATTTTCTCCTGAAAATCTTGTTGAGCTTTACATTTGCTTCAGCGAAGTCACGCAACTTTGGGATGGAGGCCAGGTATATGTGCTTGTTATAGTTTTTCTTTTTTGTGTAAGATGTAGTGCAGAAACTTATTCAGACTATGTTGTTAATTCTTACCTTTTCTCTTTGATTTGTTACAGAATCCTAAGAACTTAAAAGTGATCTACCTTAATTATTGCAATCGTCTAACTGCACTTCCAAATATCTTGGGGAGTCCAAATATTGAGCGCATGGATCTTTCTGGATGTGGAAGTTTGGTTGAAATTCCTCAGCATTTTAAAAATCTTGACAAACTTACTCATCTTAATCTTTCATCGTGCAAGCGTCTCAAGTATCTTCCAGAGATGCCAGACAGTATTGAGCATATGGATCTTTATGGATGTGAAAGTTTGGTTGAAATTCCTCAGCATTTTAAAAATCTTGACAAACTTACTCATCTTAATCTTTCACTGTGCAAGAGTCTCGAGTACCTTCCAGAGATGCCAGACAATATTGAATTCTTAGATTTAAGCTCCACTGGCATAAAGGAGTTGCCGTCATCAGTTTGGTCTCATGAAAGAATTTCTTCCTTGTATATTTCCCATTGTGAAAAACTCAAGGAACTTCCAAGCAACACTTGCAAGCTGAAAGTCTCTGGTGCTTTTAGTCTAAATGGCTGCACCTCTCTTGAAAAGTTTTGGGAGCTTCCCGGGGGTATTGGTAAATTAGATTTGTCTCACACAAGAATACAAGTATTGCCCACATCATCACTGAGGTGTCTCCTTTGTCTCACCAAACTTAAACTGAGGAATTCCATGAATATTGCGAGTCTCCTACCGAGAATTTGTGAGTTGAAATCTCTTGAGGAACTTGATCTCTCTCATTGCTCTGAACTTGAAGTTGTCCCAAGTAGCATCTACGAATTAACAAATATAAAAACGCTCAGCTTTAGTTACTGTCGGAAACTTCAAAAGTTTTGTCAGCCGACTGGCTCAGTTGGTTTTCTCTCACTTGAAGTACTAAACCTCCATGGCAGCGGTATATTAGAAATCCCTGAGTGTGTCATTTGCTCAACCTCATTACGGGTTCTTTATCTGGGAGAAACCAAAATTCGGAGCATACCCTCAAGCATTAAACAAGTTTCTCAGCTGTCTAGGCTGTGCTTATTCAACTGCAAGAGCCTTCGATCTTTACCAGAGCTCCCAATGGTACGTCGTCTTCATGCAGATGATTGCAAGTCACTGAAGACAGTATTGAGTTCAAGGACTGCAATTACACGATGTTGGAATAGATATGAATTGCTACAAGAGAAACATACTTTTTATGATTGCAGAAGGTTGGGTGGTTATGATGCAAGGAGCAGCATAATGGTTGATTCACAGCTTAGAATCATGCGAGCGGCAACTGCGTCTTCAAAGTTAAAAGAAGAGAAAGAAGATTTCGTATGTTTCTCAACTGCATCTTCAAATTTAAAAGAAGAAGAGGAAGAAGGGAAATTAAAGGCAGATTGCTTATGTTTGTTAGAGGAAGGTCGGGTATGTCTCTCTCTCTCTCTCTCTCTCTCTCTCTCTCTCTCAAGTAACATGATGTCAATCAATGTTGCAGGAAAAGTTTAAAGAGGAAGATTATGTATCTCTCTCTCTCTCTGTTAAGTAACAAGATGTCAATCAATGTTGCAGGAAAAGTACTCTGGGCCCTCAGTTTCCATTGTATGTTCGGGAGATAAAATTCCAAATTGGTTCCTACATCAAAATGAGGGGGCTTCAATAAATGTCAGGCTTCCTGCAAATTGGTTTCGTGAAGGTTTCTTGGGATTCGCTCTCTCTTTTGTTACATCCGGATGCTTTTATCCATATGTGTGTGAATGGAAGTACAATTTCAAAACTGGAGAGGGGGAAAGTCATGAAATCAATTGTTCTTACACTATAGGATTTGATGATGGCTCTACTGATTACATAAATACACAGCATGTGTTCGTATTGTATAAAGACCTTGAATATGAAGAGAGAACAAAATGGTCCTCTGCTTTTTACGACCGCGTCACTGAGGTCTCTGTTCACTTGTATGCCGTGGAAAACGATCTGGTGGTGGAAAAGTGTGGGATGTGCCTATTGTATGCCGAAGATGCTGAGAAATTAAAATGTGATGTCATGTCGCAACAAGAACAAGATGAGCATGCAGCAAGTGGGAGTGGTGATCCTGAAGCCAGTGGAAGCAATGAATCTGAGGAAGCAAGTGGAAGCGATGACTCTGAGGAAGAAAGTGAGGGTGGTGATCCTGAAGCCAGTGGAAGCGATGAATCTGAGGAAGCAAGTGGAAGCGATGACTGAGGGAGAAAGTGGGCGACGAGGAAGCAAAAGAAGACGACTAGTCTTGGAAGAGATGAGCCAGATGCAAGTCGAAGGGATAAAAGTCGAAGGGATTAATCTGTTGTTGGTTTAGGGCTCTCCTAAACTGATCTTTAAAAAATAATTTAAAGATAAAAAATTTGAGTAGTTCATCCAGTATTCAACCACAATTCATTGAGTTCTACAAATATAATTAATACCTGCGTCATAATAGATCACCTATCAATTAAGATTGCTATACAAACCAAAGAATTCGGTTGATTCAAAAATCGAAGCCCATAACAAAATTTATATAATATATTTAGAGAAAATTTTGTCAAAAGAGAAAACAACTAAAATCATTGACAAATAGATACAACAAAGATAAAATTCATTGGAACTCCTGTTGAAGAAAATAATAAGCAACATTTACGGAAAAAAAATGCAACGATATTGAGAAAATTACTTGACCTTCTTTGTCATTGATAACTATATTGACAAAATTTGATATAGAATCAACGATATTGAGAAAAGAAAAAAGTGCAAGGCCTTTGAGCTTGTTTCTAATTTCCTCATAAACATACGAACAAAAAGAAAGAAAAAAATGAGTGCAAATAAAACATTCTGAAATACGATTTTCTTTTATCAGATTCACATCTTTCATTTTAAGAAGTTACCTCTGAAAATGCCAATCTATCAGCAACATCATTTGTGCACTCAAAAAGCCTTGTTAGCTGACGGGTTACTCTCAAGATAGAAACTGGAACTCTTGTTATATTTGCCTCTTGCCCCGCAAACCTTTCACACAATGTTATTACCTGAAAGCAAAAGGCACTTTTAAAAACCCCAAACCTTGGTTATAATGAGGGTGAGGCACAGTAGGAGCTGGCCTTAAGCTCAGTTGCAGAGTATAAAAATTAGAGGAAGAAAGGACAATGAAGGGCATCTGGTGGTAAACATCCTCGCTCACCTCTTGGGTTGTCCAAGCGCGAGGGGCCAGCAAATGTGAGAAGCTTCCCGCTGACTTTCTCATTTCTTAAACCTATAAGGGTCAGAGGAGCTACATACTAATACCAAAAATAAAAAGTGTTCAGATACCATAACGAGAGGTAAACAAAAAGAAGGTATTTCTAACATCAACCAGGGAAACGGTCAATGCATGATTAAACTGGGTGTCCATGTATGCAATTCTTGTGGGGCCATCTGTTCCCCATACTGATTTCTCTTCTAATATAGGCACTGCAATACTGCATACTGTCCAATAATCCCCTGAGAATAAAACGTAAAGATAAGCCCTTTCACGTCGTAGCTAAAACTAACATCAAAATAGATATTCCATCTCACAACGAAACACAAGAAACTGTAATGACAGAAGGATAACTAGCATACATAATTATTGATTGTTCTATGAAATCATGTCCTTGGAAAGATTCGTTTCCGAACATATGATCATTCTCCACGCATATGCATACCTTTTCAGGGTGTGTGTGCTTAGATGCATGCCTGTGTTTTGAATGATTTTTAAACATGCAACTTCTTATAACTCTATCTGGTTTAATTGTTGTTCTGATAAAGAAAGTGAATGGGGGTTGGAGGAGTGCTACATGAGAATAAGAACAATAAGAAGATACGGAAATTAATTTGAAACATCAAGCTGACGGTGAAGCACAAATCTGGATATGCCAGTAACAAGATAGTAAGAGAGGAAGTTTAAGTGAAACCTGCTTCCATGAATCCACATAAACGAATTATGACGTGATTTAATTTATGCATGAATCCTGGAGAAACTTTTCAGTGCAATACTTGATCTCCATAAGTGGAACTTCGGGATGCTTGTCACAGTTGTGGATGGAATAGAAAACAAATAAAATAACTTCATTGTGTAAGAGCAACTTTTCCTTCCCAATCTACCTAAATGGAGAAAATGGTTAGATAAGACCAAAAATGCACGCAGGACACATTAGTAAGTCCGGTAATGTTTACTGCAACATATAAAATAACTTCATGATCTTAGATGGATACACGAATCTCTAAATTGAATCGCAACATTTTTTTTAAATGTTGAACAATCCATAGACCTTTTCTAATTTATTCCTATTTTTTATTTGAACAAGGAATAACATAAATACACAAAAAGGTAGGAAACCAAAATTAGACAAAAATATGCTTTAATGGACAAACTGATCATTTAACGAATGAACTGCTCGTTCTGCTTATCAATGATAGCTTCAATAGTTGGGCATTAAAACTCACTTTTTTATGGGCTCTTTAAAATTTATAAGAGTTAGTGAATTGGAATTACATTGACAACAGTAGCACGCCAATCTCTTAGAAAATCGTCAGGGGTTGGTCTCGGTCTAACCAAGCACCTAGCATCATGTCCCTCATGAAGTGCTCTCCTCACAATCTGCCTCCCCAAAGTCTCGGTGGCGTCGACCACCAGTATGCTGGAGGGTCTGACGAGTGTCCTCCAAGCAAGATTCACAGCCCCAGCTCTCGCCCTGGCCGTACATTTCATGAAACGCCACGTATTGGTCCCTGCACACACAAATCAAAAATTGAAAATTCAGTTCTTTTCAAATTTGAAAACAAATATGGGTTCTTTTCAAGTTTGTAAACAAAAATATGGGATTTTTTTTGCGATTTGTGAATAAAAATGGAAAAATGAAAGCTTTCCTGTTGAAGGGAGGATACAAAAGAGTGGCGGTAGAGGTGGAAGAAGATGACGAAGGAAGGAGATGGTCTGTAGCTAAACTCCGGCATCATGACAGCGAGGCTTGGAACGATAGCGTTTCGGAGTCATGGTGATGGAGGTTTCCTGGTGTTGCTAGCAGGGTGGGAAGCCTCCAAGCCATTGCCATTTTTCAAAGCCCTCTCTCTCTGTCTGTCAGTGTATGAGCTCCAGGTTGCCACGTCATTCTCCAAAGTGGACTAGGATTTTCTGCCACTTGTCGCAGCTCATTTCTGTCATACAACCCAACTCGCCCTGACCCTGGCATATTCAAGGTCACTTGGGCCGACTTCCAAACGAAGCCCAATTAGTCAAGACAAGGGGAGGACGTCAGAAAAAATAAAATTGAGTAAAACGAGTCTTTGCAAGAGTTGAGTTGATTTGATCAAATTTAAATTCCTTGCATTGCGAATGGTTGGAATTAAAAGTCCATCGAGCAAATTAAATCGTTATTAAGTATTAATGATTGGAAAGGTGTTTGCATGGGTGATATTGGAAAGACCACCATCCACGACCATATATAATCAAACATAAATCGCATATATGTGGGCGTAGGTGGCGTTGTGTTTATAGATTTTATTCAATATGAGAATCCCAAAAGCATGAGTTTTCCCCCTTCCAGGTTGAGCGTAACTGATCATATCTCGCCCTTGCATCACTGGTTCCACACACAGCCTCTATACCCAAAATCCCCAACAATATATATATATATATATATATATATATTAATACGTAGTCCATATACAAATCAACCGGCCTGTGACTAAGGCATAGGCGGATTTCGTACTTAAATTTCCATAGAGTCCCTCCAGATCAAAGAGTCTGTACAATTATCCTCTTGAAAAGGTTTGAAATGTTAGGGAGAACTCAGAACAAACAGATGTACGAGATCGCTTGGAAAAAAAACTTCTTAAAGAGATATTAAAGAAAGAAGATCTATCCATAGGATCGACTTTTGTTAGAGAAAGCCTCAGTCGTACAAAGGTCCTCATTGTTTTTGATGATGTGAGTGATTCAATGCAAATGAAACATTTAGCTGGCAATCGTCTTTAGTATGGCACTGGAAGTAGAATCATTATCACGAGTAGAGATAGGAGGACGCTTAGGCCAACTGTTGAAGAGGATATGATCTACGAGGTTGAGGGATTAAAACTAAATGACGCTCTTCAGCTCTTTTATTCACATGCTTTCAAGAATAACAGCTACTCCTAGGACATATTATAAGGGGTTGGCAGAAAAGCGCTGGATTATGCTGGAGGCATTCCTTTAGCTCTCGTACTTCTGGGGTCCTTATTCCTAAATTGCAAGAGCAAAGAAGAATGGGAAGATGAATTGAACAAACTGAAAGAATTTCCCAATGAAAATATCCATAAAGTGTTGAGACAAAGTTATGATGGATTGGGAAGAAATGAGAAGGAGATATTTTTGGATATAGCTTGTTTTCATAAAGGGAAGGATGTGGACGAGGTAAAACAAATGTTCGATATTTGTGGATTCTCTGCGGCATGCGGAATTAGAGTTCTCATTGATATGTCTCTCATATCAATTCATTCAACAAAGAAAAGAATAGAGATGCACGATCTGCTACAAGAAATGGGAAGCATAATTATACTTGAACAGTGTATTGAAGATCCTTGTCAACGGAGTAGGTTGTTCAAGTATAAGGAAGTCCATCGTGTACTGCAAAATAACACGGTAAGAGCTAAACGTATTCAATTTCTTTCGTTTCTATTTTAATAAAAACAAATAACAAATTTTAGATGATAACACACCAAAGAAAAGCTCGTCTATAAAATTTAATTACAAATTGAATTTTGTTGTATGTATATTCACATCTAAAATTTGCTCTTATTGTCAGGGAACTCCAATTGTTCAAGCCATATTGGTTCACTCGTATAAGATTGAAGAGCAAAAATGGAAACGTGCAGACTTCAAAGTGATGTCTAACCTAATGATGCTAATTGTGGTTAACTCTAGAATGGTTGACGCTTACTGTAAATTAACCTATTCTCTAGATCTTCTCAATTCTCTTCGTTATCTTAGGTGGGAAGGATATCCTTTGAAATCTTTGCCGTCAAGTTTTTCTCCTGAAAATCTAGTTGAGCTTCATATGCCCGGAAGCCGAGTTAAAAAGCTATGGAATGAAGAGCAAGTATATATGCCTATTTTAGTTCTTGTATAAAAATGCAGTGTCGAAAGTCTCCCTTATTAATTCTTTGTATTTTTCTTTGCTTTTGTTACAGAGACTTGTGAACTTAAAATTGATCAATCTGAAGTGGTTTGTAAATCTAACTGAAGTTCCAAATCTCTCTGGGAGTCGAGAAATTGTGCACATAATTCTTGGTGGTTGTGTCAGTTTGGTTGAAATTCCTGGGTGTTTTCAACCTCTTGACAAGCTTACTCATCTTGATCTTGCATGTTGCAAGAGTCTCAAGTATCTTCTAAAGATGCCAGAGAATATTGAAATCTTAGATTTACATCACAACGGTATACAGGAGTTGCCTGAATCAATTTGGTCTCACGAAAAAATTTCTTACTTGGATATAACAGATTGTAGAGACCTCAAGAAACTTCCAAGCAACAGGTGTAAGCTGAAAGTCTCTGGTTGTTTTGATTTACAGTGTTGCACATCTCTTGGCAAGGTTTCTGAGCTTCCTAGGGATATAAGTGAATTATCATTGGTTGGTTGCAAGAGACTTGTGAGTCTCCCAACCGACATTTGTAAGTTGAAATCTCTTAAGACACTTAATATCTATGAGTGCTCTAAACTTGAAAACTTCCCGGAGATCTTGGAGCCAATGGAACATCTCAACTTTCTTAGTTTGAAAGGGACAGTGGTTGAAAAGCTTCCTTCGTCTATTGGAAATGTAATTAGGCTTGAAACATTAGATCTTGGTACGTGTAGGAACCTAAGTGTTGTCCCGAGTAGTATCTACTGTTTAACCAACCTTAAAACTCTTAGGTTTCGTTACTGTCGGGAACTCAAAGAGTTGTCGTCCAGCTCTGTTCATTTACTATCTTTGAAATTCTAGACCTCCTAGGCACCCGCATATCAGAAATCCCTGATGGTCTCGTTGGCTCAACCTCATTGCAAGATTTGGATATGACTGGAAGCCTAATTAGCAGCATACCTGCAAGCATCAAACAAGCTTCTCGGTTGCATAGACTAAGCTTAATCAGGTGCGAGAAGCTTCAATCATTACCAGAGCTCCCAGTGCAATGTGATCTTAAAGCTAAAGGCTACACGTCGCTGAAGACAGTGTCAAGTTCAAGGACAGCACTCACACAAGGTTGGGATAAATACACATATTTTGGGAACCGTAATTTTTTTAATTGCCAAAAATTGGATCATAATGCAAGGAGCAACATGATGGATGAAGCACAACATAGAATTTTGCGAGTAGCAACTAATTCAGTCAAACAAATCTTATGGGAACCCTTGGTTTGTCATTGTATGTCCGGGAAAAGAAATTCCAAAGTGGTTTAGCTTCAGCTATCAAAGTAAGGGATCTTCAGTCCATATCAAGCTTCCTCCAGATTTTTTTCGAACAGGTTTTTTGGGTTTCGCTTTCTCTATTGTTGTTTCTTGTGTTTCCAACTGCGATAAAGAGTTTGTAATAAAGCTAGGTGCAATTTCAAATCCTTGGGTGAAAGCCATGGACTGTTTGATTCTGCAATTTTTGTCGACGGCTGGAGATTGAATGACTGCTGTGACGACGGACAAGATCACGTGTACGTGTGGTATGAAAGCGTTATAAGTGAAGAGGAAGCAGAAATGTGCTCCCCTGAGTTCCGGTCTTGGTTATTTTGCATTTGGGGACTAAACCAAGGATATGATCTCGGTTAATTACGGTGCAGGATTGATTAGTACCCTGGTGAAGCTTGGCCTTGTGGTGAATCTGTTCTTCACATTGCCTATAATGATGAACCCGGTGTATGAGATTGTCGAAAGGCGGTTTTGGGGAGAGAGGTATTGCTTGTGGATGAGATGGATGCTGGTTTTGGCAACGATCTTGGTGGCATTGTTGGTCCCCAATTTCGCGGATTTCATGTCGTTGGTGGGGAGTAGTGTGTGCTGTGCATTAGGGTTTGTGGTGCCGACTCTATTTCATCTGATCGTGTTCAAGAGTGAGATGGGGTGCGGGCAATGGTGCTCTGATGTCAGCATTTTGGTGTTGGGAGTTGTTCTTGCAGTTTCAGGAACTTGGTCTGCTCTCCAGGAGATATTTGCTGCCAAAGTATAGGAGGGTTATACGAGTTGATGTGTATTTTGATTAGCATAGATTGAATGATTTTATTTGTATGACTAAAAGATTTATCATCACAGTTTGATTGCATCATTATTCAAAACCTGTAAAGGTCTGATGTTCAAAGAAATTTACCACAATCTAATGAAGGGCTTGCATTGTCATTTATCACGGAAAATGTGAGTTTTTGATTTGGGAGCTTTTTCTGGTTTTGGAATGGTATGTTTCATTTGCTGTTTATGAATCCTCATTGTTCTTCTGTTGCGTGTGCTTTCGCTGGTAAAGTACGTTAAACATAGAATACATCTTGCACAAAGAAAAATTGAAGTGACTTGTATGAGAACGAACGGGATAGAAACTAGAAAGAGAGAATTAAAATGCCAACTCTGCCGAGGTTTGTTGTGCTGAAATCAAACCACAACAACAAATATTTGTGCGACATTACATCATACATGAAGAAAACGAGAACGTGGCAGTAGGGTTTTTGAAAGTCATCGGAGAGGAGGCATGGAGTGACTTCACAAAGTTTGAAGTGGAGAAAGCAGAGTGGTGGGAACGAGGGGCTCGTCCACATTAGAAGCTGTTACAACAATAAATACTGGGTAAGCTTGCCGTACCCCTTGGAAGTTCGTATACTGGCATGGGGATTTTTGCTGGGGCTGACGAACCAGAGGAAGACAAATCCAAAACCTCATGTACCTTGTTCGAGCATGTCGACCAATTAGATGACTATGCTAAAAGTATTAATAGTATATTACTCCAATTCCGCCGTGTCCAATTTGGAAACTATGTAAGTATTTTGACGAGTAACTCAACATTCAGGGGTATCATATTCGTGTCACCACCCCCAGAGCGTATCTCAAAAGATGTGGCTAGTGTGTTAGCAGTCCTCGATTGGGAATCACTGGTCGTGACACTTCCCAAACATGTGGCGTTCAAAG